GGGGGGGGGTGTTATTACACCTGTAACACCCACCCTGCCTGCTTCTATCTATTACATATTAATGTAGGTACTGACGTATTGATTCACCTACTCATATGTTATATATCAACTTATATAAAAGAAAAAAATATATACAAAAGGTAGTTATGCCACAACTGGCCCTTAGAATTACATGGTATCCATTTAACACACATACAAATAAGATAGGTGTGTATTGGAGTAGACATGATGAAGACCTTGGTAGATTAGTATAACAGGGTCATAAGTTTGAATAATAAACAATAGCAAATTAATCAACTGATTAATTTAAACAAAATTTTAGAATATATAAACCAACAATTATTTTCAGTAATCTAAAAATGTATACCAGCATTTTCTAAGAACTATTCTAATCATCTAATCATAGTAGTGATAGTCTTTCCAATTTTCAAAAAAATATTTATTTTTTTTTTTAAATAATGTATAAAAGTACTTCTTATTATTAATTTAGTCTCAACTATTATTTTCATAAAAACTATTTCGGAGTTTGAAAAGTGACTTTTTGAAATATTTAGTTTAATTCATAAGTTACAAAGTGTACTATATAAATGTTTTATATTTTATACCAATAAAATATACATATCTTTATAAAACCAACAACTCCCGAAAACCACTATCATATTATTAATTATTTTTTTATTTTAGATCTATGATTAACAAAATAAAATAGGTAGGTATATACATTTAAATTAATTTTTTTTTAAATGGTTATTTAAAAGTAATATGTAAAACAAAATTTAGATTATCTGTCGTTTTTGAAGAATTTATGAATAGCGTAAAAATGTAGTTGATTTCAGTCACACACTAACACATATTAAAGTAATAATGAACAGTACTTAACATATATTGGAATGTGTGATTTATATTCAATAAGAATATAAACACCTTCAAAATAATATTGAGTGAACAAAACTTAAATAGGTACCTTATGTTCAAAACGCAATAACAAAATAACACATTTTTTATCTAACATATTATTAATTTATATTTTAACATATTATTTATGTACATTAAAACTGGTTTGATAAATTAAAGTTTAATCATTCTAATTGGAAATTAACTTGATTATTATAGTGCTAAYTTAAATCATATTTATATCAGCCATACTATAGATTAAATTCATTAATCTATTAAAGGTCTATTGAGATTATGTAAACAATTAAGCAAATTATTCTATTTTAATTTGCTTAGTGTAAATACTAAGTATGCCAAAATTGTGAAGTAAAAAGACCATTTAAATTCTAGGAATATTATTAGTAAAAGCAGTTTATTTGTAAGTGCACATGTTTAATAAAATAAGCTTATTTGAAAATCTGGCTAATTTTAACCATCCTTAATTAACATAACATCAATTTTATTTTATATATTTTGCATAATATATATAACCTTTTTAATGCATATTTATTATTTTATAGTGCATAATTTAATTTTAGCTTTGGTATTATTATTAAATATAGGAATAATAACTATTTTTGTATATCATGTAACAACATCCAAGCTTGATCTGCWTTTAAAGTATACTCAATAACTCACATTTTCAATAATTTAAAGGAATACCTGAGCACTCTATTTAAATATGTACACACAAAAATTTTATAGCTCAAAATCTTTTTTTATCCCACGATCATTTAGAGTTATTGAGGTTCCAGTAGCTTAACACATTTTTTCAACATTCAACGACTTGCCATCTGATCAGATTAGTATGTCAATGTGTCCAACATACACCTATTCTATTAGTGATTTTGAATTAATAAAAGTATTGGCAGGCTATATACCTATTCATAGTGAACATATCAAAGTATTAGTATCACAGTCTTGGTAGGTAAAACGTCATYCATATAAAATCATAAAATTTAATCAATATATTATTTTATTATTATTATTATTAGCAGCTGCTACCAAATTAATACAATTATAAAACTAAATATCATCAAATAAATCCAAGAGCTMGAAAAATGCAATTGTTTCCCTGCAGATGGTAGAGTACAATAAAATTACGCCTACCTATGTATGTTAGCCTAGTTACGCCGAAGGCTTAAGTACTACACTCGAAACAAAAATCAATAATTCGATGCAATGCTAGTAAAAATAAATATAATATATAAAATAAGCATAATAACAATCGACAGAATAAACGAAGGCGACATTATTATACGAACTCACCATGATAGGGGTTGTACGTGGACGGGTGGAGCTAGAAGTCGGGTTTGTGGGCGCGAGTGTGTGTGGGTCGTCGGCAAACAGAATGAATACGGGTCACAAACGGATTTAAACAACCACTGATGCCGTCGACCGATTGATTGATCCCACAGTGGATAAAAACGCGATTGCGACGGTTATCGTCAGAAAAATGATAAAACGAAATGATATACGACGTCGAGATTCGTGCGTGTAGCGAGTACAACCACTGGTGACAAGCTGACAACGTTGAACGTGCGTCCGCAGGGCCAAAATATGTTGTGACAACTTGAACTAGTAACTGAACTGTGATTGTGAACTGGAGTAGGTGGAATGTGTTGTACTGCCGTACTGGACGTCTGGAACTCTGGACCGAAAACAACAACTACTACCAGCTGGTCGTCGACATCAACGTTATCGCTTTTTTCGTCCGAGATAAGACGTCGTTCTTGACGACATTAGCAGTAATCGTCGGTAGCACTAGTTGCCGTAGAAAATTGTTGTTCGCTCGTTCCCGCGTCTTCTTTTCGCGTGCGATGTAGCTGCGTTCTTATCAGCTTTTGAGCCCCGTTATCGGAAAATTTCACGTTTACGTTGCGTGATAT